AGAGCAGGTCTTTCAGGGCTCCTGAGGCCCTCAGGAAGCATGGAGGGTGCAGAGAAGCATCAGCCCAGGGTCATTGGCAGGTGGGGGCCTGGGTGAGTCCCCGGCAACTGGCCGTGACGTAACTCCCAGGCAGAAAAGTTTCCCTTCCTAGCATCAGCGGGATGGTTTATGGAGAAAAAATAAAATACTGCCTGCCGTGTTTAAGTGTGTTTAAATACCTGGCACCATTTCTGGAAAACATTGCAATGGAGGGGGAGGGAAAAAAAAAAAGGGCACTCATCTAAAAGTGTTTTGTGTTCCCTGGAGTCTTGTACTCTTTTTTAATCTTAGAAATTACAAATGAATGTATTACCCTGGAAAGGTGCTTACGACATACACATGTTATTTATTTTCCATTTTCTCCTCTATGGCTGTGCGCAGAATAGAGGGCCTACCTGGATTTAGTTTCTAGTCCTCTATCTCTTTCAACCCTTTTCTGCCAGGTCTGAATGAACTAAGCAGTGATATGTGTCCACTAGAGTACTCTTAAAATGAAGCAAGGTAGTTGACTAAGATAGAAACAAAAGAACACTGAGTTCAAATGGAAGAAAGCTGTTTTGTTACAGATTAGTTGCTATTAACCAGAATCGAGAATGAAGGTCAGAGTCACTTTATTCATGAACTGACCCATTCATTCATTCATTCACGCATGCCATAAATATATACATACTTATTTGTGGCAGTGCTGAGCCAGCAGGACAGATGCTGCTGGCTAGTTTCCACAACAGCTAGTCCCAATTCCCATCCCTTGCCCACTCTCACTTATAGGGCCTGAAAAAGAGAAAAAGAAGCATCGTTTGCTCAGTCCCCTTTTTGAGTTAAGGAGGCACAGTTCTGGCCAATGAGCTCAAAGGGGAAGTGAAGCCAAGTGGGGTTCTTCAGACAAGGACAAAGTCTTATGAGCTGGAAGTCTTTTTGCAGGGGCTGGGGAGAGAGAGAGAGAGACAGAGAGAGAGAGAGAGAGAGAGAGCGCTCAACGGGTTGCGGGCATACTTTGCATGCAAGAGAACTAGGTCTGATTTGAACCCTGCATGCTCCTCTGAGCACTGCTGGGAGCCTTGAGCACAGAGCTGGGAGTAACTGCTGAGCACCTCTGTGTGTGGCCCATAAAAAAACGGAAAAAAAGAAAAGTCTTTTGTAGGGCTGTGGCTGGGAGCAACCCATAAACACCACTGGAAATGACATTGAATCTGCCCACCCGGTGTCTTTGGCACCAAAACTGGAAGACAGTTTTCAAATGGCCGGGGAGTTCACACAGCCCAGACTCCTTGAGCTGGACTCCTAGAACTACAATGGCCCCACGGCACCGTGGGATATAGCCTTGGTGGCCCCCAAATACCTCCACAGTGCTCGTGAGGCCCCCAGGAAAAGCCTGGCATGAATGCTAACGAGGAACTCCCGCTCCCACTGAAAAAGTCCTTGCCTCCTTTTCCCACCATTCCTGACCAGGGCTGTGGCAGTCACTGTGTGTCCTCGAGATGGCCGACTCAGAGGAAGACAACAGGCAGAGCCTTGGCCTGGAACTGCATTGACAAGCAACTACCATGGGCCCCTGACTTCTGTCTGAGAAGCACAAATCTCCACTCGCCAAAGACATGCTGGGCACTCCAAGCTGGCACTAATGCACACTGCACTCTGATCTGCTATGCAGCCATGACAGATAAACACGCCCGGTATGGGTGGGGAGGATCGGGAGGTGCAGGCAAACCACAGTGCCATCAGGCCCGGGGGCGTTGAGTGTCGAAGCCCAGGAACCCGGGGTGACAGGGAAAAGCCCAGGAGAGAGCATCCAGCAGACGGGACTGTCTGTTCTGAAGGGGCAAGAAGATGGTATGTTGGAGGAATGAAGAGAAGTCCCGGAGGGCCCACGTGAAGAGGGAGAGTCAGATGGCAGAATGTTCTGGGCCATACGCACTGTGGGAAGTGCCTGCAGTTCTAAGCAGGAGCGAGTCCTGCTATATTTAACCTTGTGACAAGTCTTCCTTGGGTGGGTGGGGGGGACAGAGGGGCAGAGAGAAAAGGGCAGCTGGAGGGATTCATGTGATAATGGCAATGTTCTTTCTGAATCTGGGGGAGGGGCTGTGTGCAGAGGTACTCAGGGACAACTCCCTGCACTTGGGGCATGTTCCTGGAGGTGCTGTGGGAATGGTTCAATGCCAGGGATTGTACTGGAAGGGCTCCTGGAGGCAAAGAATGTTCCCCCATCCCTTAAGCTCCCTCCCTGGTAAGGCAGAAATGTTCCGGACTTGCCTGTATCAGCATCAATAGCCAGCGATCATACTATATTACAATTCTGCAAGATATTCTTTTTTTTTGTTTTGTGTTTTGGGTCTCACCCAGCGATGCACAGGGGTTACTCCTGGCTCTGAACTCAGCAATTACTCCTGGAGGTGCTTGGGGGACCAGATGGGGTGCTGGGAATCGAACCTGGGTTGGCCGCGTGCAAGGCAAATGCCCTACCTGCTGTGCTATTGCTACAGCCCCTTCTGCAAGATATTCTCATGGGGGTAATGGGCTAACACAGGGTCTCGTTATTCTTCTTCACAACTTGAAAATCAACAGTGGCTCCAAATTCAAAATTTTAATAAATGGGCAAAAAAAGCCTAGTTTCAACATGGAGTGGATGAGAAGGAGTTAGGGAGAGGGAGAAGTGACCCCCCAGGGATCTAGTGAGCCCCTGGGCCTTGGATGAGGGAGAGGAGTAGGCTGTGGAAAGAATCTGATGGGTGGACACAGCATAGGATCCCTGTGGGAGGTGATGAGGAAAAAAGAGTGTGGGACGGCTCCAGCAGAGAGGAGGGAGATGGCATTGCTTGCTGAGACAGGGCACAAGGGAGGGCAGCAGGTGGCGGGCTGCGGTGGCGGGCAGTGGGAGGTGGGCATGTTTGGGCAGCTTAGGTTGAAGAGGCCCCGTTGAACTCTTCAGGGGGTCATCCTAGTGGGCGTCTGGAAACAACCTCCTCCTGGGCCCCGGGCGGGGGAGAGGCAAAGCATTGCATGCTGAGGTAGGGAGAGGGAAGTTTTTTCTTGCTCTCACACTTTCTAAAAGAAACGCTGTGGAATTGTGAAAGGGGTGAAGGAGGGAAGTTTCACTTTTCATTCTGTTGTAAGGCGTTTTTTTTTGGGGGGGGGGCACACCCAGCGATGCACAGGGGTTACTCCTGGCTCTGCACTCAGTAATTACTCCTGGCAGTGCTCGGGGGACCATATGGGATGCTGGGAATCGAACCGGGGTCGGTTGCATGCAAGGCAAACACCCTACCCCCTTTGCTATTGCCCCAGCCCGCTGTACGGTGGTTTTATTTCCACTGTGCGCCCTGAAAATGAGCCTGGAATGTCCTCGAGGTACCCCACTGGGATTGAAACACTCTCAATGCATGTTCGTGCTGGAGTTGAAGATACCGTGAATGAAGCAACAGCCAACTTTCAGTGAGGTGCCACATCACTCTTCTTGCCCTCTCTCCCTCGTCCTCTCTCTCCCTCCCTTTCTTCCGGTTTTTGGGCCACACCTGCAGTGCTCGGCGCTCACTCCTGGAAGAATCTGTGCTCAAGGAAAACGGCTGGCTGTGATGAAGGGAACTTCTGTGGTGCTGGGGATCAAAATGGTGTTGCCATGTGCAAGACCAGTGTCTCAACCCTGGACTACTTCTGACCCCTTCACTTCTTTGAACCTTGAAATCATCAGGCTAAATGCAACAAGACAATCTATTCTTCTAACTCCCTTATATCTATTTATGAAAACCTACACAAAAAGTTACATAACTAGGACTACAAAATATCTATTTTACAACTATCTGCACTGAGCAATAAAAATGTTGGTCATCTCCCCCCTCTAAACATCAACAGATATAGAGCAACCAGATTCATTTAAACTGAGATACGCTTGTAGCTTTACACTCCCCACCCTCACCCCTCCATTCTCCAAATGTCTCTGTGCCAATTACTAATCATTCTTTTCTTTTCCCAGTGATCTGAAATCTAGCACTAGCACTATGCTCCCGTTGTTCATCGATATGCTCGGGCGGGCCCAGTAACGTCTCCATTGTGAGACTTGTTGTTACTGTGTTTGGCATATCGAATATGACACGGGGAGTGATTTGAAATACCACCTTCAGATTATATCCCACACATATTCAATGCTTATAAGTCTCACCGGGAACACTTTAAGATTCTATTTGCTCTCCTTGTCCAATTTAATTCCCGTGCTCTAAATTGCCAGGACAACATAAGACTACCACATTTTATGATGTATGACATTTTTTTGAGATTTCTGGCAGAAAAAGTTGTTTTTTTTTAAATTTGTTTGTTTGTTTTGCTTTGGGGCCACACCTGGTGGCATTCAGGGCTTATTCCTGGCTCTGCACTCAGGGATCACTCCTGCTGGGCTCAGGGGTGTTGGGAATCAAATGCAGGTATACTACCCATTGTACTGTAGCTCCAACTCCAGATAAAAGTTTTATAAGGCGGCTGGAGCAATAGCACAGCGGGTAGGGCATTTGCCTTGCACACGGCCGACCCAGGTTCGATTCCCAGCATCCCATATGGTCCCCTGAGGACCGTGAGGAGTAATTCCTGAGTGCATCAGCCAGGAGTAACCCCTGTGCATTGCTGGGTGTGTCCCCCGCCAAAAAAAAAAACCCAAAAGAAAGTTTTTAAAGGAGATTTTCTTTTATTCTCCAGCTTGCAAAGACTTAGAAATAAATATTGACAGAAAACAACTGATTTTCAATGTGTTCAAGTGAACTGTAATTCAGTTATTAAAATAAAATACGGTCCTTTTTTGCCATACAAAAATCCGATGACCACATGCTCTATTTCGCAAAGATAGCGTAACCATCTCAGAGACTTCTGATACCACTAGAGTTGGAATGTGCCAAAAGTGTGGCACTAGAAATATTCTTGGAGTCCACTGAAACAAATCACATATTTAGCTACTGGCAATTTTAACATGAATCCCTCACCTTGAAATCATCAGGAATGAGGAGTTTTGATGTTCGTAGAAAATTCAAGATATATCTGAACATCTGTCCATCTCTGTCAATGAAATAGTGCTGTTTGAGACTGTCCAAAACAATTGGTTCTGTACCATCAAAAAGTCTTCCGATTCTGTGATAGGAAAGAGGGAACAGTGAAGATAATTAGGATCAATTGCTCGGCCCTGGAAGTAAGAGCTACCATTCCGTGCCACTGTTGGAAGCAGCAGTTTTGATGATGGCAGTCAGGGAAAAAAAGTCACCCCTAAAGTAGTTGTAGTTCTTTGCGAAGTGCTGGTGCCTGTCTGATAAATATTTTAGGACCAGACAATTCAAAATAGTCTTAGGCTTTCTCAAGTAATTTCTTCTTTTTTCACTGTCTTTTGTCTATAAAGAAAATGTTCCTAATGTGATGACTGGGGCTAAGTGCTCTCAATGTAATGGAAGATCAAGTTTTTCCTCAAAAACAACTTTCTAAGCTGCTCAAAAAAAATGGTATTATTTTAAAGTATCTTTAAAACAGATTCTATTAAAAAAAAAGTGATTTTTTCTTTTAAGAAATCTGTTTTTTGAGTTTTCCCCACCCATGAATACCAAACTTTCTAAAAATAAAGCAATGCCTATAAATGCTAACATCTACATTTAATTATGAAAAAGAATAATGGAAAATATTACTTGTCTAGAAGATTTGTTTTCCATTAGCAATATACAGTCTAATTTCTTAGGTCTCAGCAAAAATAATTTGTCACAGCCAGGAATCATTATAAAAAATAAATATTTGATCCCCCCACCCCAAGGAACCTAGATTTTCCCAATTATAGAATTAACATTTGAACAGTGTGTTCCAGTTAAAGTGTTTATTCAAGTTAATAGAAATGGTCATATCTAGACTGTGAACAAGTAGAGGGCTGGCTAATAGCATACACCTGATAGCAGAAAACAATATTTATACACCAAGTTATTTTCTTTATAAAGAGATACATTTTACCTTTCATTAACAACATGGGTAGTAATGCCTCCATTTTCAAATGGAAAGCTTTTGTAGAATTCCCAACAACTCTTTATCCCTGATTTGGGTTTGAATATTGTTTCATTACTTTGAAATCACTCATTTTCAACCTGAGATTGAAACTGGACAGATATTATGCTAAACTGATAATTCCCCCTGCCCCCCACTACACACACACACACACACACACACACACACACACACACACACACTTAATATACAAAAACAAACCAACAAAAGGAAAGTTTCCCTCCTTTCCTCCCCCACCCCATCCCCTAAAAATAAAATAAGGCATGTGCATTTCTAACTCATATCCTACCAGAAGGTACTAAGTGCAAAGGGGAAAGCCAACAGGGCCAGGTCCTATTTCTGAAGCTCAGTATGCTTTTCTTAGTGTCTAACTGTCCGTAAATTGAAAGTGATTATCCAGGGTGTGGATTACAACCATCCTAGCATACCTTAGTATGATACCTTATCTAGAATGCCTTATCTTTCAATTCTCACTGACACATCAACCAAATCATAGGCTACAGAAGATGTAGTGAAACTAAAATGCACTTTGTCACTTACTGATATCATCCAGGACAGAACGGTATAGGATGGGAAAGAGTGAAAATTATTTGCTTATTAAGACATCTTCCTCTTTACTGCCAGTAACATGCTAAATTTACAGTTGACAGAGGAATAAAAGGAATCCACAAAACAATTTCCAGATACCTTGCACTACCTTAAACTCTTAATGAATGTAACAAACCCATTGTCCTACTTTTAAAGATGAAGAAACAGGCTCAAAATGACTTGCCCAACTAGTTAAGTAGCACGCGGAATTTGTGAACATTCTGTTCGATCTGAAAGAGGCCTCCCTACAATGACTGGAATGCAAAGAATTCCCATCAGGGAATGAGAAAGAGAGTTCTCTTTCTATCTTATTTGTTTATCAACACCTTTACAATAAAATCCAAGCACAAATACCAGTTATCTTTGTGTTCTGAAACAGAGTAGTATGAGTGATTACAAATCACCTTAGTAGAGAGATGAAGAGGAAACCTTTTACTAATAAATCCTTGCATTTTATTCTTAAATGTTAACTTTCAAAATACAAAACATATATTAGAAGTATGATTGATGTATATAGTCAACAGAAGACCGATTAATCAGTCTACATAGGGAACTGGAGCTGGAGCGAAAGCACAGCAGGTAGGGCGTTTGCCTTGCACAAGGCTGACCTGGGTTCGATTCCTTCGTCCCTCTTGGAGAGCCCGGCAAGCTACCAAGAGTAGCTGGCTCACATGGAAGAGCCTGGCAAGCTCCCCGTGGCATATTCGATATGCTAAAAACAGCAACAACAAGTCTCACAAATAGAGACGTTATTGGTGCCCGCTCAAACAAATCGATGAACAATGGGACGATAGTGCAGTGCTACATAGGGAAGTAATGAAGGGTTGACTGTGTGAGTAACAAAATGAGGCTCAGTTAAGAATTAGCTGTATTTTAATAATTCCCTTCCCTTAGGTCTCGTGTCTTTTGCATGGTTGTCTGTTTCCATTCCTTTTCCTCTGGGTTGAAATCATCAAATGGGGTCATGGCATGCTCAAAAAGCACTGTGAGGGTATCCCTGACTGTAAACAATTCCTATGAAAGTCACCTTAGAGGATCACACAGGGGCTGTGCTGGGGATGTTGCTCAGAGGTAGAGCACAGACTTGCATGAATGAGGCCATACGTCCAATGCCCTGTACTTCAAGACACACAAACGCACATGGTATAACAATGCACTTTCTTGGCAAAGGGGTTTATATACAGACCTTTCCAAGATAGGAGAGTCAAGCAAGTATAACATTTTTTAGGATAACAAGAAAACCAACAAACCACCTCTAGCAGATACAGGAAACCTGGTATAGTTTGGCATAGTCTGGCAAACTTTTCCTATTTCACCACTATCAGATGTGCAGTTCCCATCAGAAGCAACGTCCCATCTGATAGTGGAGAAATAGGAAAAGACAAAGGAAAGAGTTGGAGGGAGGTTTTGGAGGAGATCCACTGCTTATGAGCCAAACAAGTGGGAGAAATGGCATCTCCAAACCAATTTATTTATTTTCTTTTTGGGTCACACCTGGCAATGCATAGGGGTTACTCCTGGCTCTGCACTCAGGAATTACTTCTGGCGGTACTCGGGGGACCATATGGGATGCTGAGAATCGAACTGGGGTCGGCCATGTGCAAGGCAAACGCCCTACGCATTGCGCTATCACTCCAGCTCCCAGGCCAATTTTTTTAAGAGGAAAAATGAAGGGAAGCCGAGGAGGAAAATTCTCGCGGCCCCTGGAGGTTGAGAAGTCCCAGTACTGGTGCATCCCACATCCAGTGTGTGGCCAGCCAGGCTGGGAAGCCTCCTTACAAGCTCCTGCCCTCCAGGGCATGTGCTTGGTAGACTCAGGAGAGAAGTAAGGCCTGAAGATGGTGGAAAATGTGCACCAGCTCCTGTCAGGGGCAGAGAAGGCGGTGTGGTCTGTTGCGGGGGCTGAGCAGAAAAAGGTTGTGCAGAGTTGAGGGAGAAGCTAAGAGGGGCATGGGACTCAGCTAGGCACACACCTGATGAGGGGACAAGGGAGAAGCAAGAGTAACATTGTGGAGCAAGAGAAGCAGGAAAACGGTGCTGCTGAATTTTGCTGACTCTAAGGGATGTGTTGCCTGGGAAAACAGTGAGGAGAGCAGAGGACGGTGCCAGTGATGGTCAAATGGTGGCCTGGCTGGACTCTGCCACTGGGCCGATGAACAGGGCCAGAGCATTGTTCGGGTAAGCAAACACAGTGAACAGAGGCACGGGCTATATTTCTTGTGGACAGAGAATGGAGTTACAAATCACACTGCAGAGGCTGTGAACTCTGGGGCCTGGAAACTATGTGGAACTGATTACAGTTTACTAACCTTGGAGAACATTCCTGTTTTCCAGCTGACCAAGACCACGCTGCCAATGGGTGATGTATGGTTGGGCTTTTCTTTTCTTTTTCTTTTTTTTTTTTAAACATTCATTGAACTAGCGACAGTGTTGAGAAAAAAACATCCCTTCCACTTTTTGTCATTTTAAACATTCAAAGACCTTTGCTTAAAGACAATTTCACATTTATCCCACAGCAGAGAAAAATAATATAATGCAATCCCAGCTTCAAAACATAGCATGTCTTGTTTCACTTATACCTCTCTGTCTCATTCTCCCCTAGTGGGGTTTTAAGTAATTCTCAATGTTCTCTCCATCCCCCATGCCCCACCCGAAAAAAATTATATCCTGGAGGTTATAAATCAGGATGTTTCGGGAGAAAGAAAAGAGGAAAAGGGAACAGAGATGGATAACTGTTGGGGAGTGTTTAACAGGAGAGAAAATATTCACTGGCAAAGAAAAGAAAGAAAACAACCAGAGTGAAAATGAAATGGAGCTGGGAGCTGGAATGGGTTACGCGCTTGCTTTCTTTGTGGCCGTTGGAGCAGTGTTGCATCCCTGAGCACAGAGCGGGGAGTAACCCCCACTCCCTCTCCCCAGGAATGGTTGTGGCCCCCAAACAAACAGCAAATGAAATTACTTGATGCGATGACCCGATAGCCAGGTCTCAAGCATCCCTACGTAGGTGCTTGCCTTGCTCATTCTTCTATTTCAGGGCAAAAATTGGTTTCGCATTTGTTTTTTCTTTAAGACCTAGCACAGTAGGTGTCCAATGGGGCTTTTTACTGGGGAGAGGGCACACCTGGTGATGGTGGGGTCCACATGATTCTGGGGATTGAATGGGCTACAAATAAGGCATGTGCCTTAACCCCTGTACTACATTTCCAGTTCTCCAGTACATCTTGGGGGGCTTGGGGGTTTGGGCCACACCAACAGTGCTCAGGGATTATTCCTGACTATGCACTTAAGGGTCATTCCTGGCGAAAATAAAACTTTCGATCCTAAAATTTATATCTACTTGTCATATTTTGTAATTACATGGCAATTTATGTAAAGATCTTTTTACACTTGGCTTAGTGATAAGGTAATAAAAGGTAAAGGCCCTCCCGTTGATCATCGATTTGCTCGAGCGGGCCTAGTAACGTCTCCATTGGAGACTTCGTTGTTACTGTGTTTGGCATATCGAA